CCAAAAATTATTTTGGAGGCCAAATGGTGGCTTCTATGGTATTAATTGTCAGAGTTGAAATCAAAGTCAGTCACCTCTGAGAAAAATGGAATCCCCCAACACTGAAAATGATAGTGTGATTTTTTTTTTTCCTGAGGTATGTGTAGATAATTCAAAACTGTAAGCTGGGTTTATCTTTTGGAATCTCATATCTTAAAAGAGGCTAGGTCACAAGAAAACCATTCACTGCTCTCTTGCCTTCATGGACACTGGCCTTTGGAACCCAACCACCATACTGTGAGGAAGCCCAAACAAGCCCAAGCAGAGAGACCACACTGGGAGGCCCCATATAGGTGTTCTGGCCAACTGAGCCCAGCAGAGACCCTAATCTACAGGATCCACTGCCAGGCGTGTTGAGTAGAGATACCTCCAGATGATTCCAGCACCAAGTTTTGAATCTTTCCAGCTGAGAAGCCCCAGACAGGTGGAGCAGAAATAAGCTGTCCTTGCCATGCACTGTCTGAATGACTCAGAGAATCTATGAGCATTGTTAAATGATTGTTCTATCCAGCTTAGTTCTGGGGGTAGCAATAGTAACTGCAAAAATACCTTTAAGTCTCCAAGTCCAGAGAAGCTCTGTTATAGTATCCTGACAAATCTCCAGTCTTAATCCATGATAGAGGATAAGGAAATGCCAGCCATTTGGACTCAGAATCTAACGACTTCTTTAATGTACTTTCAGTTAATCTTATCTTTAATCACACACATACTCCCACTTCCAGGGGTCTTGGTGCTATCAAATCCTTAGCCTTTTGAGGGGTCTGCTAAATGTTTTCTCACCTTTCCCTTCTGCCAGCTCAGGACTCCACTTTCTTGGCCTCTAAGTTCCTTCCTTTAGTTTCCCAGCTTCCAGGATTTTGTTGCTGTAGTCTTCTATTTCTTTTTCCTAAGAGTTTATGCTTTTAAAAAACCATCTTATTGATATATTAATTGGATTTGTAGAGGAAATGGAATTAAATGCACATGTTCAATTTGCTATCTCCAATTAGAATTTTACCTAGAACTTTTATATCTTTTCTGGATGTTATGACTCTGTTTTCTTTTGCTTTGTTTTGTTTTTTAATGAAAATCAATTACTTAAGAGTACTGGATGCAAGAAGGCTTGTGCTTTATTGAAAACAGCAACAACAACAAAAACCTTTACACTCACTACCTTTTTTCAAGTCTTTTAGTTCTTTGAGATTTGTCTAAACACATGTGAGTCTGAAAGCTTCCCCTTTCTCTAATTCCAATCATCATCAAAGAGCTTTTGTGTATGGTCTGTGTTGCATATTCATAAGAAGTTATAAAAACACAGACTCATTTCTGAAGGAGAAGACAACTTAAAAATAGAAAACAATGTAAAGAAAACACAAAAACTTTAAAGAGATGCCATGATTGTAAATAATAAGTAGATTAGATGATATATTTACAGATTGAATGAGCTAAGAGTTGAGTAGGTGGTGTAGGCCATGGAGTCAAGAGAGTTGGAGGTTTTTTGCTGTGGTCACAGCTGTTACCACTTAACAGGACCACTGACATGTCCCTTTTCACCCTGGCAGACAGGGCCTTGAAGACTGCTGTTTCTGCTGTTGGACTCTTAGGAAGTGGGAGACTTTCTCTCTCCTGTTCGCTCTGCCTTTGCAGAAAAGAAAACACTTCTTCCTGCAGTACAACCCTCCCAACCTCTTAGCTGAGTCACAGACTTTCTGTTACTTGCTGCAGGTCTTCTTCAATGTCTCCGCTGGATGGCTGCAAAGGGCTACACAGAGAAACCATTCTCCACAGTTAACTGGCACCTCCATCCCCTACTTCTAGACCTGCTAGTATTGGACAGTCACTCTGCTATTTCCCTACCACATTCCAACTCATTCCAAACTCTACTTCTTTGCTATGTGGGAGCCTCTCTTTCTCATTCTCTTTGGGAAAAAAAAATCATACACACACACACACACACACACACACACACACACACACACACATTTTTTGTTTTAAAAGGGTCAGGTAGCTTGAAGTAGCTTTTTATGTGATAACCCTAGCCAATGAATGATCAAGCACCCTGTGATCATGTAAAAACCACACCTATTAATTCACAAGTGTTTACCTTAACAGATATGAAGTTGATAGTCCTTACGAAATTGTATGTGTTCAAGTATTCAGTTTTTTAACGTACGCTTGAAATGTCTTTAAGTATAACCTTAAACTAGTGTCATTTATTTTAAAATAATATATAAAAGCATTTTTATATACTAAATAATATATAAAAGCATTTTTAAAATTATATACATCTGTGAGCATCTATCTGTGCAAATACTTTCATGTAGGTTAGGGTATTTATTTGTTTAATCAAAAGTCTAAATAGCTTAAGGAGCATGAAAATAGTTAAAACACCAAAGAAGAAATGCTTAAGTGAGAGGCAAATGGGCTAATAACCAAAATGAAACTCTAAGACTATGAAGACACAGAAGGAAACACATCAGAAACAAGAAAGAGCGAAATGCCCAAAAAACTAATCAAATAGGAGCATCTAATGAAATCACTAACAAACTATAGTGAGGATAAAAGAATGTGATAGGAACTGTGTTGACTTTCTGTAAACTTTCACATTGGCCTCACATCACACGTCTCTTATTTCATCTGACACAACTGCACTTTCCAGAGGCAGACAAGGCAGTTCACTACACGTTTCTCACTTTTGCAGTCACCCTCAACAAATTAAAGAAGTATATTTATGAAATAGAATCTGCTTATGTCTCTAAAACCTATTTTTATTCACAGTTATGTGCTAACATCAATAATTAAAACCCCTGTAATCCCAGCATTTTGGGAGGGTGAGGTGAGTGGATCACTTGAGGCTAGGCATTTGAGACCAGCCTGGCCAACATAGCAAAACCCCATCTCTACTAAAAAATACAAAAATTATCCAGGCATAGGTGCGTTCCTGTAATCCCAGCTACTCAGGAGTCTGAGACAGGAGAATCACTTGAACCCAGGAGGCAGAGGTTGCAATGAACTGAGATCACACCACTGCACTCCAGCCTGGGTGACAGAGCAAAACTCTGTCTTAAAAAAAGAACCCCATTTAATACAGTGGCTAAGAAAACTGTGATTGTACAACATTATGTTCAAATGACTAATATAAGGAAATAATTACAATGTAATGATATTTTTGTTAATACATTTAAAATCCTTTGGTTCAAGTTTGTTACTCCAAAGAAAATGTAACTATTTTCAAGTAAACCATGACAGTTCTTTTTAAACTCTTCTAATTCCCATTACTTCTTTTCAGAGGCAACCACTGTTAAGTACTTAATTCATTATACAATCAGGCATATGTACTTCGAGTCTTTTTCTGTGCATTTTGATATGGATTGGCTGTGTCCCCACCCGAATCTCATCTTGAATTGTAGTTTCCCACAGCTCAATTCTTTGCCAATTATTTGCAGGCACTTCTTTCTCATCATCTCATCTCTGTATTTCTGCCTTCTCTTTTGTTTCTGCCTCATTTGTCATGACCCCAGAATTCCCAATGAGGAATTCTACATCACCTGGGAAGATGGACTCTGCATCACCAAAAACAGGCCTAAGCACCACAAAAATGTTGGGGCTCTCATAATGTCTCCAGCAACACCATTTAGAGCAACCTAGATAAAGGCAGTTGCTCCACACAGACAGAAGCAAATCATCCTCCGGGCCCCACCAGCTGCGGTTTATTTACCAGGCTGGTATTCCAAACAGAAGCTCCACTCACTTCATCTCTTCTTCAGGCTTCAGAGGATGCCAGACACAGGTGGCAGACACCTACCCTATGCCATGGCTGAAGTCCTGAGTAAGCTTGTTAATCAAAGTTTCTCCAGCTTCATCTAACAACAGGAGTGTGCTGAATAAAACTCCCAGTCAACTGTTGGCTCTGCTTCCTTGAAAGGAAAGCAGTGAAACAGGAAAGGCATCCAGCCGAGATAAAAGCTAAGCTAACAAATGATAGCATTTCTAAAACAAATAATTGGACTTGAATGCACTGGAATGAAATAGAAGAGGAGGGAGTGTCAGAGAAGAGCACAGGATGAACCCAACCTTCTGATCAACAGAAGGCAGGGGGCTGACAGAAGAGCTTGATATAACATGTAGGTCTTTCTGACAGTTTTCCCAAGAAGCTGCCCGCCTATATTAGTCTACCCTTCCTGTTTGCTTCATACTTACAAGATGCAGGCTGAAAGGATATGTTAGGCTGTCATTCTAGGCTGATAATTATTTTCGCTGCTCTGTTTAAGAAAACAGTCTATTGGGGAGAAACACAGAGTTGTTTGAGAAGAAATAGCCTCATCATTTTAGCATGGACAAGGAGTAGTGAAAAATGATGATCAAATGTGAAGTTGGAAAGCTTTGGGTGGTGAAGACAGGATCATGCCCAGGCCTTGTAGGTCACAGTCTTGCTCCTACATCAAGGTGATCTCTGAGTCGCTGTGCTGTGTAAGTATTGATAGGCCACTGGAGAGTGCAGAAGAAAACCATCCCAATGCCTGCTTTCTTAGCACCTTCTCTGTACCAGGCATTACATTATCTTGGAAGGGGCATAAAGATAAGCAAGACATCCTTGTTCCCCCAGGGGCACATTATTCAGCTGAAGTAATGGGAAATCAGGAGCATGTGACTCATTTGAAGAGTGTCAGCGGGATTTGGTGACTGTCTTCATTAAAACTCCTTTGATTTCAAGGATGAACTTTACCTAACATTTGGTTGGGGGAGGGTATTGTTGGTGCTACATCATGGAAAAATTAAGTATTGTAAAGGGCAGTAATACAGTGGAGTCTCAGAGTCAACGGAAACCGAGAACTTGAATACTACGAAGAACTCATTTTTTATTCTAAGCAACTTCATCCTTCTTTATTCTTTCCCTGCTGATTATCCTATATTTCTCTAGTAGAGCATTCAATAGAATTCAGCTATTAGAGAAATTATTCTTGTCCTTTCTTTATTCCAAGTCTAAAAGTCCTAGGAGAAATCTCATTGATCCATCTTGATTTGTGTTCCATCTGTGATCAACCCTCTGAAGTAAAGGAGCAGTTCTTCCTCCAAGAGCATAGATGCTCTAGCAGGAACCTTGCAGCTACTCTCTTCAACATGGTAAATCCCTATAAGCTTTGCCTCCCATAGTCACTTTAAGCCTTCTGATGTTTATCTGTTTTTTTTCTGCTTTTCTCATAGTCTTATGTCCATTCAGATTTCCCTTCCCTGCCTGGCTCTTTCAAAATAGTAAGCAATTTGAATGATCTGTGTGGTTTGAACCTGCTCTGTGAACACTGGCCATAGGCTCATGATGTCTATTTAGCTTGGATTCCTAGATGCCAGGCACCCTTGCCTAGACAGTGAGACTATGATGTCCATCAAATGACCATGGAGCTAGCCAGAACACTGTTTGAAATATGGGTCTGGAGCTCAAAAGAGCATTTTGATTGAAGGCATTGATTTGGGGGAATGACGTGCCTGGGGATGACAGTGGAAGTTGTGGAAGCATATATATCATTACCAAAAAAGAAAATGCTGTGTGAAAAAAGAAAAGAGCCAATGAGAACATGGAGTATCCAATATATAGGCAGAGGAGAAGAAGACTTCATGGGGGAAAAAAAGCCAGAAGATGAAGAGAAGAAGGGAATTTGATTGACTTAGAGCACTGACTTGTATTATGCTGCAGGCAACTCTTAGCTATCCAATGGCCAGAAGTGCTAGACTTAAAAGTTCATGATTTATCTCCATGTCTCTAGTCCTCTATTTCACTTCTTGGTAACATTACCTTTTGAGGCTGAGAAGTCAGATAAATCAATTTCATTTTGCTTCAGACACTAGGCCTGATAAAAAAGAACTGACTGGATAGGAAAATAGCTAAGGTGCAAAGTAAAGGTGTTTTATTTTCTTATTTATGGATTTGTATTGATCCCTCTAACAGGGCATTAAAATTTTGTTTTATTTTATAGTTTCTTAGGATTCTAAGAAACAAACTGGCTTCCAAGTTTAGAAGACCAAGGTATGTAAGATTGCTTATTACTGCCTAGAAAGGTTTTTCACTAGAGGGTACCCTTTTTATGTCATCCTGTGGTCCTTTTATTTACACACTTGGCATATAAACCATGGCAGGAAATGGACAACCCTACTGAGGAAAATATATGTCTATGTTTGTAATAACATTCATTGCCTAGCTACTTTGGCCAGTTTCCATGCTTGTGAGTATATTAATATATCTAAGCTGGCCTCGCCCAGCAACTGTGAAAGGATATAACCATCAATTAACATAGATGTTGGAGGTCAGAAATGATTAAGTTCTTCTTTTCTTATTAGCATTATAAAATCTTCCTCAAGGTTTTGAAAATCATATCCTGTAGGTCAGAATTATGGTGACTTGTCAGGCAAGGTGCATGTCGTGTGATGTGTTTTTAATAAATAACTCATACCAGTTTTCTGCAAAAGCCATTCATCATCAGCTTCTAAAATTAGTAATAAAGGAAATTTTCCAGTGCCTTTTAAAATTTCCTTTCTTTTTATACATTGAACAATGAACCAATTGAATAAAATCAGAAATCCTCCAAAGAAACAACAGAAATTAAGATTAATGGAAGTAACAACCATAGAAGTTGTGGCACCACCCTGGAGTATTATACCAAGACAACACTCCACCGGGTACTTCAAATATTTAGTGACAGGGTGTTGGGGGAAGCAGCAAAGGAGAAAGGACTTACAGAGTGCCTACATAAATTCGTTATGAGTAACATGTAAACAAGGAAAAACAAACTGTAGAAGGCCGCAGGAGGCCTCTAAGGAGGAAGGCCTCTCCATGCCTCATGTTCCGGTGCAGGGTGACCTCAGCTCTGTTACCACAAACATTGTGCTCAAGGATGTAAAACCCCTTCATAGCACTATGAGGTAGTCAGACTTCTATGCTCCTTGTAAGGTCCATGTTCCACCAGCTGTACATAGATAATAAGCTAAAAACAATCACATGTTCTTGTTTTGTGAAACTCCCAAACCACCACTGGTATCAATCCTTAGGATGACACACCAGTTCCTTCTCAGATTCACTCCACCATCACTCCACCCTACCCTATAGATCAAAGTGACTGTAATCAATAAATAGAGTGGATGATCAGAGCTTGGGGCCTTCACTGCCTCCTCCAAAGTAATAAAGTGATGGCCCCCGGTCCTACTGTCTCTCTTAATCTGTCTTTTTCTCATTCCTTTGTTGCCACTGAACTTGGGGTACCCACGAGTGATGTAGGGCTGGCTCCCTACATTCTGGTGCCCAATGTGGGGCTCATGGATCCCTGCATTCTGGCACCCAATGTTTGGGGCACATGGATTCCCTACAACAGGGACTGTGTTCACTCCTAGCACATTTGCACTGTACTTACTTTGGCACACACTGCCAGCCTCCTACATATTCCCATTCCCATTAAAATCACATTTCCAACATACTTTTATCTTAGACATTCCCCTCCTGATCCACTGAAGGCCCCCTTTTAAGTGTGGGGCTTCAGCCGACCAGAGGACTCCAGATGTGGCCCAACTAAAGCAGAGGGCAGCAGCAGGACTCACACTTCCTGTGGTCTAAATATTGCATTTGTTTTCTGAACGAACTGTGTATTAAAACAATTTTTATTACTCCTTGTTTATGAAAACATATTGTGTAGAATGACTTGGGTACACTGTCTATACTGCATTGAGAAAAAATCTTAAAGAACAGGAGTTTCCAGGGCTGGGATAAATTTGAAAAAAATGTTTTCTATCTGACAAGTTATGGCCAGAGAGAAAGGGTATGAGTGAGATACCTTACCACTCTTAAAAATCAAGAGTAAGCAAGAATGGATGAAGAAATAGAAAAAACTATGGTGAAGAAATTTGAAAGCATGGTATCATGAGTGAGATATGGGCAGAGATGAGTAGAAGCAAACTCAAAGTCACAAAGAGATGGAGTCCCAGAGCGCCTCCTTTTCATAACATCCAGTGCATGTGTTGGGAATAGGAAACATGGCCTGTAAGGGTAACACGATAAATGTTCCCAACTGTATTAATCAGGGTTCTCCAGAGAAACAGAAGCACTAAAAGATAGATCGTTAGATGACAGAGAGAGATAGATGAGAGGGATTCATTATGGAAACTGGCTGGCATGGTTATGGAGGCCAAGAGGTCCTATGATATGCCATCAGCAAGCTGGAGAACCGGAAAAGCTGATGGTATGATTTAGCCCAAGTCTGAAGGCCTGAGAACCAGGAGCACTGTTGCCTGAGGATAGGAGAAAATGAAGGTCCCACCTCAAACAAAGGGAATGAATTCACTCTTCCTCTGCCTTTTTATTCTGTTCAGGCCTTCCAACTATTGGATGGTGCCTACTCACACTGGTGAGGGCAGAGCTTCTTTATTTAGTCCACTGATTCAAATGCTAATCTTTTCTGGAAACACCCTCAGAGATATACCCAGAAACAGTGTTTTACCTGTTACCTGGGCATCCCTTAACCCAGTCAAGTAGACAGATAAATTAATCATCATGCTGAAGAAATCAGCTGAAGTATTTATAGACATCATCTTCACTGATAGTTGCCCAAAACGATCATGGTTTTGATGAGTTTCACATAAAACATTTGATCCTAAGTGATCCAGTCATTAGTGTTACTCACAAATTATTTCTGGCTTTCATTTTCTAGACATCAAACTTGACTTCCCCCTTGGAAGCTAGATTTGGCCATGTGATTAGCTGCAGCTAATGTTTGTGAGTGCAAGCCTTACAAATTGATGTGCAGATTGCTACATCCCCTTCCCACTGCCAAATGATGGTGAAAGCATGTGTCAAAATGATGCCTCTTGAGTCTCCAAATCCTTCTTCTGACTTGCTCTGGACATGTAATATAATTGAGCAAACTAGGAAGGAACACTGCAGAGGTGAAGCGTCCTGTTTCCATCCACACAGTCTGCTATGCTTTCCTTTTCAGGCACAATGCTTCTCTGCAGAGTTCCAAACTCAAACGCCTTCAGAAGCCAGGTGAGTAATGTAACTAAAGTGAAGAAGTGGAAAAGAGTAGGATCAAATGACAGGAAGAAACAGAGGGCAATGGCAAACCTGAGAGTAAAAGGGACCATTTTGAGAGTAAAAGGGACAACAGGCACAATTTGAAAATGTATGCTCATCCTAGCGAAACTTGTTATGTTAAGCCACTGAGACCTGGGGGTTGTTTTTTTACTGCTGCATAACGCAGCCTATCCTGATTGATATATCAATGCACGTATAAAAATCCTCAATAGCCCATTTGTAGAAGTGTAACAAATGACTCACGTTGCACTATAACTGTGTGAGGTTGATAAGAAAATGGATTCTAACATCTAGGCCTAAGGTTAGTCAGCTGCATTGACGCTGACAAGCGAGTAACCTGCTGGGATCCAAAGCTCTTGGCTTCCAACTGAAAGCTTTTCTTCAGATCTTTCCAAGGAAATGTTACCGAGGAGCTACATTTAGGACAAAAGCTGCTGACATGAGAAAAGGGTTAGTATAGCCCAGAAAGACTAGCCTCAGTCTTGCCTGTATGACCCTATCTGCTTAAGAGTATGGCATCAAGTGTTCACTGCAGAGCAGCTTGAGCCAACCTACAGAATGTTTGATTTGACCAGCAGAGTACTGTAGACAAAACACGAATTTGCATGCCTTTCGATTGAGCAAGCACTCTCAGGTTTGCCATTGCCCTCTGTTTCTTCCTGTCATTTGATCCTACTCTTTTCCACTTCTTCACTTTAGTTACATTACTCACCTGGCTCCTGAAGGCGTTTGAGTTTGGAACTCAGCAGAGAAGCATTGTGCCTGAAAAGGAAAGCACAGCAGACTGTGTGGATGGAAACAGGACGCTTCACCTCTGCAGTGTTCCTTCCATAAGTCCATAACCTCAGTCTATTCATGAGAATAATAATCAGACAAATCTAGATTAGGAGACATCCTACAGGATAACTGGATAGTATTCCTAAAGCCTATGAAGGTCATGAAAAACAAGGAAAGACTGAAGACTGTCAGAGGCTAGAAGCAAATGGAGAGACATGAAAACTAAATGCATTGTGGTGTCCTGGATCAGACACCAAAATAGTAACAGGTCATCAACAGGAACATTGGTGAAGTCTGAAGGATGTCTGAATTAAGTTAACAGTTGCATACCAACAATGGGCTCTTAGTTTTGACAAAGGTACCATGGTAATGTAAGATGTTAACAATGCAAGAAATTGGGTGAGTGGTATACAGGAACTCTCTGTTGCTTATATGTGCAATTTTTCTGTAAATCTAAAATTATTCCAAAATAAATATTTTTAAAATCCTTCTTTGTATAGTGATGAAAAAGGAATAAGCCCATCCAGAGCCCATTTCTTCCCTTCTCACCACATTCCAGATAATGTGGGATGCAGTAAGTCTTTGCTTACATGTCTCCAGACCTGCACAGGACTCTTCTAGGTCTCCATGTTCCAAATGGAGACCATGCTACCATTACAAGTCCACCTAGGCCCTTGTGGTCACCAAAAGGAGGCTGTTTACAAGCTCATGTGGACAGGGCTTGGATAGGTAAGCTAGTGTGCCTATGTGCAGGAAGCTCCTTGTGGGGTTGGATAAAGCCAGGGAATGGGAAAAGAAGGCAGGTGAGCTACCAATGGGGATCCCTAGCTGTCCCAGGTCATCACATTCTGGGGAGAACTCTGAGAAGTCCAGGAAGGCTGCAGCTGATCCTAGCCTCTCATATCTTTACACAGATATATTTACAAAAGTAGGAGACAGAACATATTAATTCATCAATCTTTTAACTTGATGTAAAACTTTTAGGTATCCAGACATATGGTGTGTGGGCCTTCACTGGTATCTAAGTGAGAAGACACATGGGACAGGTGCTGTGAATCTCTCTTCGCACCTGCTAGAAGCAGTGCTCAGGGCCATTGCCCTTCACCTTGCTTTGCAATGTGTATTTCTTAGTAGAGGTTGCAGAAGCCCAATCAAACAAGCAGAATATGGCACAGCAGCCTCAGGACAGAATTCACCATCCCTCTACCAGACACCGCATCCCAGAGCAGGAAATGTTACCCAAGTAGAGATAAAGGATATCGTAGCTTTCTTTACAAAAGGTCCACATGTCAAAATACATGTGGTTGGCTTTAAACACAACGAGAAAGACACAAAAGGATCACAGTTGAAGTCTGATGGGAAAAATGACCAGAATCAATGCTGAAATTTTAGCAAGGAGCAGGCATAACCTTTGTTCTACTAGACCTGGGGAAGTGTGTATATGTGTGTGTTGAAGAGATGAGGACCAGTCCATTCGAGGTCAGATCTGCCCTGCAAGCCAGGCCACTGTGCCCCACATTTTCAGAGTAAGGCATCAGGCCCCACCCAGCGAACAGCACCTGGGGTCACTAGTGTAGCCTTCACCTTCACCTGCCTCCTCTAGACTCAGAACATGTTAGAGAGCTCCACAGTGGACACCCTTGAAATAAACATAAGATGTAAAATTACAGAAAGCATATATTTATAAACAATATGTAAACATAATAAAATTTAAATAAATATGCATAAATAGAATACGTATTTTATAAAAAGGAAGCCTGGAGAAGACACACAACTTTCCTAACACACATATTGCCCAGGCAGCCCAGGCATTTCCAGCTGCCTCCCACACCCCGCCACTAGGGGGAGCGGGGGGGGGGTCCCTGCACTTCCTGTGGTAGTGGTGGTTATTCTCCAAGATGTTTTATAGGCCCCACTTCATCCCCTTTTTCATTTCTTCCCCTCTACTGCCCACAGAGCCCAGAACAAGGGGGAAATGGAAACAATCAGAAAAGGCATCTTTTCTCCTAACAGTAGTTTCTCACTGAGGTATCTCCCACCCCCATGGATTCTGATTCAGTTGGTCTAATTAGGATATAGTCTGGGCATCAGGAGTTTTAAAGTTCTTCACATTGTTCTGCTATTCTAACACCCCCACACCTGGGAAGAGGTTTTCTGTTTTAGGTTCCCAAATTGCCATGCCATTGAGACTTCATTCAGGAGAAAGACATCCCTGGGCATCCTTTCAGCAGCACTGGGCAAATCCATGCTGTAAGTGTAGACACAATAATGGTGAGCTTGGACTTCATAGACACATAATACTCCCCCCCATTGCTTGCTGTTAACGCCATTTTTGGCACAGATAAAAATCAATATAAAAATAGCTTACTGCGAGGGCTGGAACTTAAACACATAAACGATTACACTATTTTTTAAAGCACAGACTTCAGCAGTAATTTGTTTCAAGACCTTAGAAAGTGCTAAGGAAATATTTTTAATTGTAAAATTATGATACTTATTCTCGATAACTACTAGTCTTTTCATTTGCACAGAGGTCCTTTTCATATGAATCTGAAGGTAGCTAGCCTTTTTTTTTTTTTTCCCCAGAAAGGATGTAAGGAGTCTGGAAGGGTAGACTCAGCTCCTTGGAATCCTCTTCACTCATCACTTGTCCTGAGGCCAAAGCAGGGAAAGCCCCAGGAACGGCTCCAGAACCTCTGTGAGAGCCTCAGTCCTGATGCTGACAGCCTGGTAGCACAGACTGCTTGCTAGGCAGTCTTTTACTTTACTTTTCCTCTTTCTTAAAAGAAAGAGAAATAATCCAGAAAATAATTTGAAAAAGGAAATGATTTGAAATGTCACTGGTAATAGTCTCTGCCTCTACATGGGGAACTAAGAGAGTTAATCTAATGAGTTAAAAAAAAAAAAAAAAAAAAACAAGGGATGTGTCTGAGTGCAGTGGCTCATGCCTGTAATCCCAGCACTTTTAGAGGCCAAGGTGGGAGGATCACTTGAGCTCAGGAGTTGGAAATAAGCTGGACAATATAGCAAGACCTTGTCTCTACAAAAAAAAACTTAGCTGGGCGTGGTGGCACACCACACACCTGTGGTCCGAGCTACTCAGGAGGCTGAAGTCGGAGGATCACTTGAGCCTCTTCACTGATCACTTGTCCTGAGGCCATTGCAGGTTGAGGCTGCAATGAGCTATGATCGTGCCACTGCACTCTAGCCTGGGTGACAGAGTGAGAACTCGTTTCAAAAAAAGGAGGGGAGGTGGCATGGTTTGATAACAAGGAAGAGGTTAAGAGTCATTGCAATCATAGTATAAGACCATTCAATAGGCTGTTTTTAAATTTATTATGCCATTTGCTCTTTGACTAACTAGTGATTGAGAAACAAAGTCATTTTCTACTTCATTGGTGATGTCAATATTTTTATTACAAAAAAAAGACTGCTTTCTTCTTTTTTATTTTGCCTAAATGAAATTCTTAATTGATTAGCATTTAACAATATAAAGCATTCAAACAGAAGTGTTAGGAAGACATCTCTCCCTCAGCTCAGAACCATATATGCTTAAGAAGGTGTTGCCTCAGTGTGGAAGCCATTCTATAGCATGGGCACTTTGCTGCTGCTGTCAGATCCTGTCATTTACCTGCTACAGACAGCCAAGCAGAGTCCTTAGAAACCTCTGAAGTGGGGAAGAGATGATCATTGTCAAACACTCTGCATAAATCCTCAAAACAACTCTGGAATTTGCCCAAAAACAAAATCTCAGCAAGTTTAGTTTAAAGGTATAATTGGTGGGAACACATTGTGAAGACAGAAATAAGTATAAAAATGGATTACTAATCATTCAAAAAGAATTTTTAAAAAAGGATATAGTTGGCTTTTTTAGTCCTTCATAAATCAGAAACAGCTTATCTCAAGATTTAGAATGGTGCTCCAGTGAGCTGCGCAGAAGAGGTAGCCTTCATAGGCAGAAAAGACTGATGAAAGCAAAAACAAGGAACAAAAAGCAAACTGGTCATTACAAAGCTGCTTTCCTTATAGAATTAAAACAGTGGGGACCTCCT